ATACGTTGCACATATACATTGGACGTTATCTTTGTTTAAAGAATTTATTTCAATATTAATATCAAGTTGTATTTTATGAATTGATATTAGGTCTAATAAACAGCATAAAATATAATCGCTAAGCATAAAGATATATAAAAGTAAAGTAAAGTTACAGCCTATATACGTCCCACTGCTGGGCTCAGGCCTCCCCTCATTTCTGAGAGGGTTTAGGGCAAGGAAGTGTCCGCCGCGCTGCCCAAATGCGTGTTGACGAACTTCACATGTCTTCGAAATATTTTTTTTCTTATTCCTCAGACATGCAAGTTTCCTTGTTTCTCACCGCCGAGCACGTGGTAAATCAGCTTGCAATTAACAATTTCATTGGTGCCGGCGGGGATCGAACCCGGGTTACTCGCGTTCTGTTATATTTACAGTGAGCGTTAACCACTGAGCTACCACGGCTCTATATAAAGATATATATAAAAAAGTTATATATAAAGATATATAAAAAAATTTTTTTCCAAAGTACTGTTTGTACAAGAAACAAATTCAACGTTAACTGCTAGTAAATACTTTTTTAGTAATTTATTGTATGTAATCGCCATGTCTAGCAGAGATAGAAGTACCAATCTCTTCGCACATTATAACACTTGGTTGAGTATTTTCGGTTTAGCAACGCATTAAAAGTTTTTTTTGACATCTTTAAATGAATAAGAAGAACTTGAAGAGAAAACTTGTAGCTCTTTTTATTGAGTGCGCGGAGGAGTGTGTGATTTGACATAGTTAAAGATTATAATATGGAGAATGAGCGAAGAAAGCTAAAATTTATATACAATATGTTGTGTTACAAATACATTTAATTTAAGTTAAATAAAACATTAGTTTGCTTACGTTCGTACTGCCAATATCAAACATTTATTAGTCTGTGGTCAAACAGACGCACAGAGTACATACAGATTATCGTCAAGGAATTTAAAAATACTTCAGAACAATAACTAAATCAGTTACCAAATGCCGACAAATAATCACTGACGGAGTAACTGAATGCGCTGCGAATTTTGGGTGATTTCAAATGCTTCCTTTTTAACAGTCTATGAAGTGTATGTCCAGGAAAAATTGGGCTTATTTCATATTTTGTATATTAGATATCGTATAATAATATGTAGTTGAAAGTAAAATACAGCTTGCTTAATATACAAAAATCTAAATTTAATGAATTACGGTCGAATTTCCACCACTAGGCGACCACTAGGTGCATGAGGGTAATATGGTTCGCTTTGCCACCCTATAAAACTAAAAATATATAGCAAATAAGCTTTGGCAATATTTAGGAACACTTCGAAAATCAACTTAATAAAAACTAACTACATTACGCCATAGGTACTAAAATCGACTAACATATTTACTAAAATATCAACTGCTAAAATGACGTAGATAAAGCTGCGTCCTTTTCACCCTTTATTATTTGATTGACTGATAAAGAGCTATCGTATCACAAAGCCTTCTATGCAAATAAGGCTGTAGTTTGTGAGTTATAAAAAAGCGATAATATTAACCGGATGAACATAATATTACCCTCACGTATTATAGTTACGATAAATGAACGCAAATGCAGCAAATGTCAATTTTGTTGATCCGCCATAATAGGTATTCTGTGAATCCGGCTGTCAAGTATGATGATGATCAACGATGACCTTTCAGTAGAGAGTAACAGTGTTCTGTGATTAAGGCAAATCTTCGATGAAACGAGAGAACCCCCCCTAGATTAAATCATATAAGGGATTTGCCACAAGTAGTTTTTATTATTATTGAGTTATCAGACAAATGCTGCTGTCTCCTGATTCCACCTGATGCTATCGTTCGGTGGAATAAAAACACAAATGTAGATTTTTTTTAAAATACAATATAAGGTCAAAATTAATCTGACTTTATTTTTAATATTATTAGAAAATGTATACTTGTTCAATATAAATATTACTGTTTGTTAGACCATCGTTGGTCGTGTGCCGCTACCACATACCATTGTCATGTGTCAACCGTAACCATACTGAATTAATATAAAGTGCATGGACATTGAATCCAACGTTCTTTCGTTGCACTTAGTTGTACATAAACTATTTATTTTATATAGTATAGTTTACCTTGTTTTGTTTTAGTTTATTATTATTTTAGTTGCCAAATATGTAAACAACAGTGCAAGTACACTTAAATTGTTAAATATTTTATTTTAAGTTAAAGTAGACAAAGACAAGTATACAATGATGGAAATAAAACAACTTGTTATTTGTTTCGATGTATTATTATCGGTTAAAAGTGAAGCCATACCTGTTTGTCAAGTCCTAGTTATCTTCGGCTAAATATACATAATATAGTAACGCTTTGAACTATTTACTATTGTGTCTAAAGTTTGAAATGTGAAAAAATAGTTTTGATGCTTTCAGTATAGAATAAAAGTCAAATGAAATACGTGTTTATCTTCAAGTAACAATTAATAGTTAGGTTTGAAATCGATAAAACTTTCTGTCTTAATTTGTGTAATTTTACGATGATAAGTTAAGGAAAAGATCAATGCCTTCAATGAGATCTATTTACAAGTCCTGTCATTTTGTAACCGAAAAATGTATTCTAAATATTGGGAAGTCATTGCACTGATTCATAGGTGCGTTGCAACAAACGTGTTCTACGGCCACCTAGCGATCGACTTACCTGAGAGTCGCTCCGGACGTGGTTCAGATTGTTCACCACCCCACCGTTTTCAGATGCCATAGGATCCATCGCTGTACGTTCATCATCCACAATACTTCAAGATTCCTTCGCCAAACCACACATAGTTTATTCAACAAGTCTTACGAGGGATTTTAGTCACTAATCAAAACAGACTAGATTCAGAATAGTACACTAACACTTCTCCAGGTAGCTGTATAGAGGAATCTCACTGGCTTTGTTTAAACTATTCGTTAACGCACCTCCTACAGACTGAACGTAATATATAAAAATATTTTTGTATTGAACGTTGTTTTGGTTTTCAAGCTACCATTGTGTACACTTTAACGTCTAGTCGATCCCAACTAAGAACGCCAGGCGGCGAAAAGTTAACCGTGCGTGATTTCTGGCCGCTTTCAAAACCGAATGGTCATATAAGCTATCAATCTTTGCATACCAGAGTGGTCCGGTGAAACGGAAACTGTTGCCTAAGTTATTTCTGCGCGCGAGTAAAAAGGACGGAGGGTAGGCAGGTACACCGTCGTGAAGTGAGCGGACAGTATCTACAGGTTTTGCTCTCCCACTACAAGAAGGTACGGTGCGGACTCGGAGAGCCTCCGACTGGTTCGACTAAGAGCTTGAAAGTTGACTTGTATAATGTAAGGCTGCGTAGACTCCGCGCGATATGCACCTTTTCTTCTATAATTATGAAAAAAACAATACTTACAAATCTATTAAATTATATTAATAGAAAAAAAATTACGTTTAATGTAATTATACCAATCGATTTAAAATCTTTTTTTTATATACATTATCGAAAAATAATTAACAATTTCATTTGTATCAGTATAAATGTTTACGTTAGGGACAAAAAATTGATACTTAGTTAACGTTACGAACCATTTAATACTTACAATTTAATGTTATAAAATTAATTAAAACGAATCCCAATGCATCTCTGGTGAAGGCCGCGGGAGCTAACCTCTACAAGGGATACTCCTGCGCATGGACCCACGCACACAAACAAACCTTAATCAATACGCACCTAACAACACAACTACATTTAATAAGTACTGTCAATGCATGTAACGCACACACTGGCAGGACAGGGATTATTCTTACCTGTTCTTTATGCTCCTATGTAATTGGCCATTTAAAAAAAAGTTACTTTTTTAAATAATAAATATGTATATCGCACTTGACGGCCAGCTGTCGTTAAGGTTGGTATTGTTAATAGGATAAGACTACTTAAAAATTACGTTTGGAATTTATTTTCATAAAATATCCTTTAATGGTTGGTATAATTTTGATTTTCGTCGTGTTCGACAAAATAATCTTCGCAAAAAAAAAAGCGACGTTAAGCATCGCAGTTCGACCCCGACGTCTTTGATAATGATAATGTTTTATCTATTATAATTGATTTAATACTACCAATACTACCTTTGTCTCTCCTGATATTAAATAGAAATGTAGCTGAACACTGTAAATATAATAAACGAACTGACTTAGCTAAAAAAGGGGGACTGTGTAGTTAAGCAATAACTAAAAAACGTATTTTAGTTCTTTGACGACACAAATAATGTAATCGAACGAAAAATATTAGCAAATTATTCCAATATATTATAATATGAATACGATCTCATTTGTGTTAAGTAGGTATAGGGTCGTTTAGTCAGTTGGCGACCGATTAGCGGAGTACTCAACTTTACGTCAATATTTAAGTACCACATATCCATAGCACAGTTATTAGAATTATTTGACAGGGTCCTAGATATTGTCAAGTTATATTTAAAAATTAAAAAAATGAGAATACAGTTGTGAGAACATTTTAAATTAAAAAATAATGAAAAACTATACGAAATGCTAGTTAGCGACCACCTTTGTCAGTTTACGACCAACGCCTTATCTAATTGGCGACCACTTGATCTACTATGCTAAACTACATTTAATAAATAAAAAATAAAATGTAATGCATGCATTTTAATGTTTTTTTATTCAATGTAAATATTAACGCTTTATTATTCATACATTTAATAATTATATAACAGTCATATTTTCATGAGATCAAAGCTACACATTATTTAAACTATACCTACTTAAACTGCAATCACAGCACAACATGTCTTAAACAAGTATACAAGTATCAAATGAACAATATAAATCTAAACAACAATTTCAAAAATATCAAATTAACAATATAAATGTAAACAGCAATTATTTTCCAATACACACTCATCATTTACTTAAGTACTGAAAACTATAAAAAATATGTAACGAAGTCCTGACTACGATCAAGTTTTTCTATAATATCTAATCTAATCTTCTTCTATAATACAAGAATTGCATTTAAATGCCTTATCTTTAACTTCATCATAACTTAGTCCGATGAAGTCTGTACATTTTAAATGGAACCATTTGGTACAGAAATCACAGCCAACGTTTTTGTCTTCGTCTTCCTCTGTGTCACTATTTAAAATCACTTCGCATTGAGCACATCTTTGTTTTGTGATATTATTTTCTTTATTCTCTGTTCCTAAAATATTAAATTTATCAGTCTTCGTTCGTTTCACAGTCTTTCTTCTCTTAACTTCGCCTCTTTCATTCTTCTTTCTTTTAGATGCTTCTTTTTTACGTTGTATGGACTCTCTTTTCTCATGTTTATTTTTTTCTTTTTCCTCGTAATGTTTCCTCCAAGCCAAAGATGATATTGCAGCAGGAACTCGTGGCTTAGAAATATTTTTGTTTGATTTTACCAAGGGTTCAGGCACAAATAAATGCTTACTAAAAGCATTAGTGCTGAGTGCAGTTGATTCCGAAGGTATGACTATTACATTATCAAGTGACTCCATAGACGTTGGTTGATGTCTGCTAGTGTTGCCTAAAATGGAATAGTTATTTTCCGATATAACGTTAGTAGAAAAGCCTGAATTTGATATTGCAGTTGATAAAATAGGTTCAGTCATAGTCTGATCTGCTAGTATTGTACACTGAGAAGCTAACAATTGATTTTCTTCTATTGTCATTGGTGTTTTGAACAAAATTACTATTTCAGAGTAAGGTTTTTCAGATTCGGTCAACGATTCCTTGTTTTTTACATGAGGTAATGTAACTACTGCTGGCGACGTGATACCTTGAAAATCTATTCTTGTTGGCGTACTTGATTGTAGAGGTATTATTACGATATCATCTAAGGATACTAGAGTACCTTGATCAAGATAACTGCCAGATAAATGAAAGCTCGTGAGACTGGTTTCTATATTTATATTTTCTGTTGTATCTTGCCTAGAAATTATTTGGTTGTTAATAGTTTCTTGGTCTTCTATTCCAAATTAGTTAATAAAGATTCAGAAACATTGTATTTATCGCATCCCTCTATCGCAATGTCTTTGGAAGTATTTGCATGTAATAAAATATTTTCTTTAATAGGCGGAGGCAACAACTGTTCATCCGCGTAATGCGTGTTGTTCAAACCTGACCCATCGATAACTGATGCTGGATCGCTATCGTTAACTGGATTAACAGTATGTGGCATAGAGGTAATTGTCGCAGGATTGGCCTTACTCAAATTTGTTTCACTGTCTATCAGTGAAGATATTGATAAACGAACTGTCGAATTAGATCGGTCCTCAGATCCAGTTTCATACAAAACTTCTGACTGTCTGGTCTCTGTCTTTCTTAACTTCTTCACTTCTCTCAAAATAAACTTGATATCTACATTTTTCTTACGGAGAACTGGTCCTAAATGCCGTATCACCTTTCGCGTGGAAACCAGATCTTGATTTGTAATACCCGTTTGCTCACAATTTCTCGGATTATTGAGTCGTTCCATAGTACTTTGTACACACTTCGTGTAATCCACTGCATTGGGGTCAAAAGGAAACAAGCCACATTTTCTAAACCCATTTTTTATACATATATCCATCTGCGAGTCCCCAATAATGTTTTTAAACAATTGACAAAAATTAGTTTTTGTTACTGAAGCATTCAAATTGTCAGGTTTGGATAAAAACTTTCTTACTTCTTTCCTCCAATTTACTTTCAATGGGGCAAACACACTGACATCAGCAGGTTGTAATATGTGCGTGGTGTTTGGTGGCAGAGCATATAATATTATTCCTAACTGTTCACACATAGAACTCAACACCAACGACATATGCGATTTATGGCCATCAACAAGAAGTAAAATGGGCTTTTGTATTTTGTTATTTTCAACCCAAGTATTAAAATCGTTAACTATATATTCAAAGAATATTTCGCTTCGCATCCAACCGGATTCGCTTCTACCCAAAATCCATTCCGGAGGCATACTATCAGTTACCGCTTTTGGTGGACGTAAATATGAGAAAACTACTACCGGTGGACACATTTGTCCCTTAGCATTAAAATTAATTAAAACGGTCAAATTATCCTTTTCGTTCCCTGAATTTACTTGGTACAAGTTTCGAAAGCCTTTCCGTCCAAGAACTTTTCCGGTTTTGGGGCATAATGAAAAACCACTCTCATCAGCATTGAATATTCGATCAGGCTGTGTGAGAATATCTGACTGTCCTGATTCGGATAAAAATGTTCCAAGTTCTCGAAACCACTGCCTTATATGCTCTTCAGTAACGCGTGCACGAGCTTTGTTTATGCTTTCTGCTGACCGGACTGAGATTTCTGGGTTTCTTTTAAGAAAGCCTGAATACCAGGTCTGACCAGGACGATCATCTTTAAATGGATTAGGTCTCTGATAGTCTTTAAGAATTTTTTGTACAGTGTCTAGTAGTTCCTGTTTTTTGACAGGAAAACCACATTTAGCAATTTTGATAATCCATTGTACGACTTCTTTCTCCATGGATATCCCTAAAACCGGTTCGGGTCCTGGGTTTTTTAGTATATCAGTCCTTTTGCCACTTAGTCTGTCTTGTACTGTAGATCTTGGGATGTTATATTTTTTACATGTTTCTCTAATACCGTGTCCTCTTTCTCTTGTATCTTTTAAGGCACTTTCCAGGTCTGTTTGTGAATAAGCCAGAGTTTTTATTCTGTTACGATTTTTAGAGGACATCTGTAATAAAAATATTAAATATTAAACATCTATATCTACAAAAAAATATAGTGGTAAATGCCAGTGGTCGTAAAACCACACGTTAATTTGCCACTTTTAGTTGGCGACCACTTAAAATCCCCATACATTTTGAGATCGTCAATTACAATTACACAATTTATAATACAATTGGGTAGTCGTAAACTAAAATACATGTAACAAGAAATAAACAAACATAATAGAAAGCCATAAAATCCCGGACTAGGTTTGTAGGTTATTAAAATTATAAAATTGTTTTTCACTCTAAATGTCAATTGGCGACCACCTGGCCGCAAACTAAAATTATTAGATTATTTTCATTTTAGTTAGCGACCACACAATTTTTTACAAGATTTGGTTATATTACATAAAACAAATGTACAGATTACGTTAAATACATATATATCTAGTAAATATAACATTAAAAATTTGCCACAAATAAATAGAAAACTATCTACTTACCTCGAACGCAACATGTGCTCACTATTTTTTCCGTTGTTATGGAACTAAGATTTATTTACTGTCTGGTTACACAAAGCTGCCAACTAATATAGGTAAAAATCATACATCTATCCCTCTCTGTACTTAGTGAATTACCTTTGGAAAACAAGGATCAAATTCTTATTTATTTCGTATTAGTGCCGTAGGTCCCGTTAATGGTCGCTAACTGACCCTGGTCGCGTAACCAGCTAAATGTCCCTATAACAAAAATTTTATATAACTTGCTGGTTTTCTTTAAGAAATCGTCTATTCTACAAAATACAAATAATTATAAAAATGAACCCGACTACAGTGATCTAATATTTGCAGATTCGTTAACCTACTGCGTAACCCACACTAAGCGTTTGGCTACAACTTTGAGGGGTGCGAGTTCGAATCCTGCACAGAACAACTATTTGGAATGCTGTACAAATAATTGTTTTCAAGTTGAATGTGTATATAATGACGAAAGGCATTTACGAATATCTATGTAACACGCCTTCCTCGATTGATGTGACGGAAATTACATAATAATAAAATATACGTTCATATTTTAAATGACACGATCATCGACATACGTTTCGTACTTTTGACGTTGCTCATCGTCGTCGGACAGGATATTTTACGCCTGTTGTAAGCAAGATGTTTATTATTATTCGGAACCGAATTCGGAAGCAGAGTTTTTAATTTTGGTTTGTTCGAACCGGAACCGGATTGCACGTGAAGGCAGAGGAGATAGGTATATGTTAAAGGCACGTGTAATAAAATAAAATTACACACATTATTCATCACAAATATATTTGGTAAAAACTGTATCCGCCTTAACTGATAATTCCGCACTATGAACTGCATATGCATAAGTCGTTTCAGAAATACATAATAAGTTCCCCGTGCGACAAGTTTCAACTTGTTCGTATTCGCTGATAGCGATTAAAATTTATCGGAACCAAAATCGGAATCGAAGATGTAAAATCAATCGGAAGTTGCGAACTTTCGGAATCGGAATCGAACCTCCGTAACATCTCTAATAGGTATCATAAACCTTAAGGTTTTTCTGGTATTTCCCATAGTCGGCTCTTACAGCATCCGCAGTTTAAATAAAATAAGCGGCATAACAAAAAATACGCCATTAAGTATTTTAATAACTTAACAAGATTTTTATTTATTTATCATTTCAAAGTTGAGTACAAAAGCATAGGTAAAAGAGCATCTACCATAACCACAAAGGTTTGTAAATAGTACTATCAACTACATCTATATTTCCATAAGGTTGGATAAAAAGAAATAGAATATACGTAATATAACATTTGCAACACAATGTTATATTACGTATATTCTATTTCTCTTAGTAACAGTTTAAAAATCGGGCTAATGTTATAATTTTGATAACTTAGGTAATTAAATTACTCGATGTTGTTTGTAAGTTCATTTCCACGTGTTAAGATCAGTCATCATCATCATCATTACAGCCTTTCACAAGTCCACTGCTGAACATAGGCCCCAAGGAATGCCATAATGCAGTCCTGAGCCACCTGCATCCACCGACTTCATGCATGTCTTACCAGGTCGTCACTCCATCTAGTGGGGGAACGCCCTACACTTTGCCTGGCAGTACGAGGCTGCCACTCGAGAACCATTTTTTCTACATCGGCTATCGGTTCTGCGAGCTTTGTGGTCGGCCCATTGCCACTTCAGTTTACTGATCTGTTGGGCTATGTCGGTTACTCTGGTTCTACAGCGGATGTCTTCATTCCCAAGTTTATCACGCCGAGAAACTCCGAGCATAGCCCTCTCATAGCTCGCTGAGCGACTTTGAGCTTCCTCATACGGCCGGCAGTGAAAGACCACGTCTCAGATCCATACGTCATCGCTGGTAACACGCACTGGTTGTACGTGTACAAGTGTACAATCAAACAAGATCAGTGTTAAGTAGTAAATAAGATTTTAATATTTGTTTTAATATTTTCTCGTGTAATGTAATATGTAATTTTAATGAATATTTAATATAATTAAATTACAGTATAAATGTAATAAATACAACAGGTATTAAAAAAACCATAATAAAGAAAAACTAAAACTAAAAACTTAAATTATCACAAAGTCTTACTTCCCGTGATAACGTGACAAGAACCCTGGCTGCTTTTCCTATACTATAATTATCCTTTGAGCGAAAAAAGAACCAGCCCCCTATCACTAGCAGTGATTTAAATAGCTTTTTATAAGAAAAATATTCATCATTCAAACGACACAAATAACACACCAAGTAGGTTCTATACCATCTAAACTACCTCTGTTAAAAAAAAACGCCATACGTCAATACCTGTCAGGATAATGTTATGAATCGCCAAGAGTTTCTCTTTCTCGTCACGGTGTCAGCAACCTTGACTTGTGTCGCGATTGTTATAGAAAAAATGGGTCCACGTCGATAATGGTAAGAAGGAAAATAGGTTTCACTAATAATATACAGGATTTCAGTAGTCTTTACACTAGGTTACACTTGCAAGTATTAAGTTTAAAGACATTTAGGATTTGGTATTATTTTCTTGAAAGAATCAATAGTTTATTTATTCATACAAAATTACAGTGGTAACACTGTAAATTTAGCGATTTGCAAGTTGCTAATCGAAATTTTTACATTGTATTATCATTTGAACAAAATTTTGCAATAAGTACACAAATATTTATTGCAAAATAACAATTAGACTATAAATAAAAAGTGAAAGCAGACTTTAAAGAACTGAAAAGTACAAAGTAATTTCCACATTTATTAGCTTCAGAAGTATGTTAAGACAGAGAAGTATTAGAGCCCCCACTTCTGAAGCTGTTATATGGAAATTATTTTACTCTTTTTAGTTATTTGAAGTCGGCTTTTGATTTTTATTAAAAATAAATATGATTTTTTGAACTTTTTGAATGGGTTTAGGAATATCACAAGAATATTTTCTAAATAATTACATTGAAAACTATATCGCCTATTTTTTCTTTAAAAATAGGTACGGTTTTTAGTTGGCTGAAAAAATGCAAATTGTACCTTGTGCCCAAATTTTTAACCGACTTCAAAAAGGAGGTGGTACTCAATTACACTGTACGTTTTTTTAACGTGTGTTACCTCAGAACTTTTCTAGGTAAACCGTTTTTGATGATTCTTTTTGAAAGGTGATGCTTCTCATGTGGTCCCATATAAATTTGATCAAGATATGACTAGTAGTTTTTGAGTTTATAATGCGTATTTAATTAACTTCAAATACTTAAATTGATGATGTTCTCATTTTACAAGGGTGAATTGAAAAGTACTCGGCCTAACCAAGAAAATAAACACATACTAAATCAGTTATATTTTTATTTTTCTACATAATCACCATCAAGTTCAATACACTTTTGCCACCTCCCCTTCCAAGCATTTAGACCGTTGAAAAAAAATGATTCTTCCTTAGAGTCAAAATATGCGTCTACAGCTGCTTTGACCTCGTCGTTTGTCGAAAATCTTTGACTTCCCAAGTGCTTTTTTAGGTTAGGGAACAGAAAGAAGTCTGATGGTGCCAGATCAGGTGAATACGGCGGATGCGGTAACAGTTCAAAGCCACAGTTGTGAATTTCAGCCATTGACTGTACTGACGTGTGAACACGGGCGTTATCTTGATGAAACAGGACTTTTCTTCTGAGCATTCCTCGACGTTTTTCTTTTATTTCCTCTCGTAAACGACGTAGTAAGGTGCAGTAGTAATCAGAGTTTATAGTCTGACCCCTTTCAAGATAATCAATCATAATCACACCTTTAGAGTCCCAGAATACTGAAGCCATCACCTTATTTGCCGACAAAATCGACTTAGCCTTTTTAGGGGGTGGTGAACCAGGTCTTCTCCACTGTTTTGATTGTTGTTTTGTTTCCGGTGTACAGTAATGAACCCATGTTTCGTCCATAGTAACAAAACGATTCAAAAAAATCATCTGCATCGGCTTCAAATAACTCCAAACAGTCGCGTGAAATAGTCAATCGCGTCCTTTTTTGTTCAACTGAAAGCAGTCGCGGAACCCACCTCGCAGACACCTTGTGGAAACCCAACTCGTTGACAATGATGTTTTGAGTTCGTTCATAAGAGATGCCTATAATCTCGGCTATCTCTCTAATTTTTAATCCGCGGTCTCCCATTATTAAATCAAGTACTTTTTTTAATATTTTCGTCAGTAGTTGACGTCGAAGGCCTTCCAGAGTGGGGTTCATCTTTCACACTCTCTCTACCACGCTTAAATTCTGCTATCCATTTTTTGACGGATGAATATGACAGAGCACAATCGCCTAATGTACTGACCATGTCATCATGGATGGCTTTTGATGATAGCCCCTTCTTATGGAGGTACTTAATGACGGCACGCTGCTCGATTTGCTCCATTCGCGGAAATTATGTCCGATTACTTTGTTAATAAATTTATAAAATCACAACTAATTATCGCACACGTTTCGAACTTCACACAATGAACTAGTCTGAACTGAACCAAATAATGTGGGTAGATTTGATTTTTAGAATTGAATGGATCTGTGTTAGGCCGAATACTTTTCAATCCACCCTCGTATTTATACTGAAGTCGGTTGTACAAAGTTTTTAATTTTAGCACTTGTTATTGATTGGACTTTGGGTAAACTGCTTAGACATATAATGATATAATGCATGTAATACAACGATACATAAAATATCTATCTATTACAATCTGATGGTAAAGTTCTTCAAATATATTGATTTCGTATTTTTATTTTAGTATTTCTATATATAATATATGTTCTGTCATTAAATTTTAGCTTGCCCACGAACTGAGGTTGATGAAGACGAGCAGTGGAAATTAATATTTTGAATCTCTTTTGTTTTAGATACACAAAACCACGATCTCCATGTCGTAAAAATATCAATTCACAATGTATACTCACAACTGACTATGAAAACATCAACTGCAACTAAATTTAATCAGTGCGCTATGATTATCTTCTTAAATCGATTGGACTTCTTAAATTATTTATGTTTCATATCTAACCATATTACAAAAACGACATCAGCGAAATGGGATATAGGGACGGTATAAAACCAACTAGACTGTGGTATTTGACAGGTAGGAAACAATTTAAGAAAATGATAGACAATAAGCACGCAGCTGTCGATCATCCTTTGGACCAACGGGATAAGAAGGATATGCTACAACTAGTGGCTCTATGTTTTGGTTCAGCAATTGGTCTCGCTTACTGCTACGGTTGGTTCAACCCTAAGAATTACCTGACATCTATCTTAACCCCAGAGAAATTCACTGAAGACTGCCTGCTACCTTGTCAATCCGATAACATACAAAAATCGCTCGAACCTTGTCCAGAATCGGAAACATCGCAAAAGTAATAAAAACTCGTGAAATAAATAATTTGGAAACTAATTTTTATTTTATTTTATAAGTTTCATATTCTAATACAGCTAAGCAACTGCATTTGTCGTGTGGATAAAGGCATATAGGTGTCAAAGATCGAAAAGACCTCATGGTTTCGATAGATGGCAGTGGTGTCTAATATCCTTACATTCATCCATTACATCCAATAGAAGTTTACAGTTCACGCTAGGCAGACAAATTGGCATCCGTAGTTTTTTTTTTAAATAATTTTGAGTTGTTATCAGGAAGATGCTGCTGACTATGTCATGTTTTATCACCCCTTGTCGCCTCTAACCACAACCAGGAGACATGACATATGTCAGATGTAAAAAAAAAAACGGCGGCGGGAAGTCAAAGCAACGACACATCTAGTATTCTCACCGCCATCTGCTTGCCAACTAACAATGAGAGAGGACTATGTGATTCCTAATTTTATTATTATTATTATTATTATAATGATTTCTTAAATTTACGCGAACACTACACATTGAATAAAACTATTATTTACGGATTTTATCGCGTTTAATTACTTTAATTTATTTTTATTATTATACCGACGTTTCGGGTGCTTTACAGCACCCATGGTCACGGGGGGGACTGAGATGTTTGACGTCCCAATGTCATAGTTAGTCCGGCTACCTTCAGTTTTTTTAATATTAATTAGAAGTTTTTTCAATATTTTACAGTTTTTTTAATATTATTAATTAGAAGTTGGTGGAGATAAGAAAAACAAAGGATGCTGTAAATTTAATAAGTATAACAAGCATGATTTTACGTATTAATCTATTTTTCTTTCTTCAGAGCCCGTCAAAATATACTGCCTTTCCTATTGCAAGGAATAAAAGTTAAAGTTACAGCATATATACGTCCCACAGCTGGGCACAGGCCTCCTATCACGCCTGAGAAGGTTTTAGAGCAAGGAAGTGTTTGCTGCGTTGGTCCAATGCGTCCAATTCACATGACGGACACATTGTGCGTGGCACCTAATGCTACTTTGATGCTACTTTTTATCGGTGGCCTGTTTTACATTTGACGTCCGATTACATCTGTTTTACGTTTGGTAGTCCATAATCGGACCACCCGACGCCCGACTGGTATCCACCCCTTTGTTGCCGACATGTCGCATTCGAACCAAACGGTTTTTTTTTCATCCTTTGTAACGTGTACTGCATGGATTTGACAATTTACCAGGATCTGCCTTTTTAATTCGATCACAATGTGGTCTTCAAGGCAAGAGTGAATAAGTTTTTGTAAATCTAAGTGCACCAAGCTAGTACAGAAATTAAAGATGAGTATTTCTTAGTTTGGGTTAGAAAAATGCAAAGGAGGAATAGGGATTTCAATCACAATCAAATTATATTATTGATACTATAAGACGCATACTTGCATGGGCGCCCCCAGGATTACTTTCAGGGAGGTGCATCTGCATCTACACATTACACTATTAACTGACATAAAACATTAATTATACAAGAATATTATGTACATAATTAATTGAGCAAGTGGATGAGTTTGTGTATTTGGGATGTGTATTTAGCAGGGATGGTAGATATGATAGGGATATAGAACGACGAGTAAATGCAGGGAATAGAGTGAATGGGGCACTACACTCTATTATGAAGAACCAGAATGTGTCAAAACAGGCACGTATGGTAATTCATAATGCTGTGTTAGTCCCTACGTTAATGTATGGTAGTGAAAGCTGGGTGTGGCAGAAAAAGCACGAAAGTAGAATAAATGCTGTAGAAATGCGTTCTTTAAGAAATATGCTAGGGTTTAATCTGAATGACAGGGTGAGAAATTGCGTGATAAGAGATAAATGTGGTATGCAAGATGATGTTGTGACCAGGATTAAGAAAGGAATGCTTCGGTGGTTTGGTCACGTAGAAAGAATGAATGATGAAAGAGTGACAAAGCAAATTTATATGGCAGATGTGAACGGCCGAGTCGGGAAGGGACGCCCTAGAAAAAAGTTTGTCGACCAAATTGGCGATATTTTGAAAATGGGCCACGTTAGAAGTACCCTTAACCGACGAGCATGTATGCGTAGATATATGGATGTAAAGGAGGCGAAAGAGGTATGTCAGGATCGTGCCAAATGGAAGTCCGTAATCTCTGCCTACCCCTCTGGGTGACAGGCGTGAGTGTTTATGTTTATGTTATGTATTATGTACATAAAAGTTTTATCAAATTCAAATTGGGCGGGTATTTAACTGCATATATTTCGCTCATCGAAAACATACTTAAATCTCTGTAGTCGATGGTTAGCGTTATTGCTCGAGGAATCCTCAGTGCCGCGCAATATGCTCTGCGTTCACAAGAGATAGAAGAGGATAGTAAATTTATTGACAAGGTGATGAACAAATTTGTACAGCAACCTAGACGCCTTATTAAAAACAATAAAGTAATATTTTTTTAATCTATGCATTTTCTTTCCTGACAGGTGAAAGTGCACCCTCTTGCACCATGCTGCCGGCTCCCATGCACAGTTGAATGGTTCGTCTGTGGCTATGGAGTGTAGAAGTAAGGAGTACAGACTGTGTATTAAAAAGTGTCCATAGAAAACCGTTAAATAAGGGTGGCGCCACTATAGCTACGGGATAAATTTTAAAAAACGTGCCGAAAAATATTAGTGGGATAGACGACTCTTTCGAGGGTATATTTGCTAATAAAAATAAATAATAAAATTATTTTAGATTTTAGAGCTACTGTGCAGTTTAGAGCAAACTTCAAACCGTCGACAACTGCTAAGTTCATTCCATCCCAGTAGCTACTCCAGCGCTGTTGTGGAGAGTTTTTGAACTGTTATTTACTGCTTAAAGATGGCAACTTTTTCAACTGTTCTACTATGGGAGTTGGTACTCCCTACTTTTTCTAAAACAGCGCTTAAATAGATTAGCCCATTTATTTTTAAGTTTCACCGGTTGACGTATAGGTATTAGTTTCCAATTTCAGCTTTAATTCATAATACGAAGTAAGATATATCCATGTTCTACACTTGGTTTAATCGTTGATTTTTTTTCGTCGTAAATAATAAACTTTTCATATAGGCTATGGCCCCATAGATTCTCAACTTTAACAATTGATGCACATTCAAGGAGGCTTATTATGATAATATTGTCACCAGTGTATTTAGCAAGAAAAAATTTATTGAAATGGTGCAAACTTTAAAAGCACTGGTCGTTTCAGTAAGTATCGTAGCCGCTTATCATTATTACACAACGAAAATGTAAATTAAAGCTTAGCAGTGTAAAAAATTATTTCTCTCATAACAGTTACACAAAAGTTAACCTTATTAACGTAAATAGACAAGTAAAATTTATTGTTTGCTACTAAACATCTATCAACAAAAACAAATACATTATCTGTAATACGTTAGGTGACATTGATAGAAGACTGGAAAGCTCTGGCTGTAAAGTTATCTGTGCTGGAAAGCTGCGGCAAGCTCCTGAAAAAACGATTTTCTTTCTCAGTTCTCAGTTCCTATTTGTTCTTATGGATTTTTAATTCCATAAATATGGATAGAAAGGAGCAGTTAAAGTTGTTGCTGATGATTGTTTCAATGGCATCGATAATACAGTATACATATGGATTTTATACCCCTTCGTTTGATAAAAAAGCGGAGGAAGTAGCAAATGTCTCTTCGGATAAGAAAAGCTAAGTTCTATCAAATGTCGAAAATTTTGGGATTTTATAAGTCAGCAAAAATCAATTATGATTTGAATTAAATACAGGTTATGCTGGAATTTTGTGTTTTTATTGTATAAGAAATGAAATCATTTCTGTTATAGAAGTTGTGAAGTAATTGTCAAACGAAAACGTTTCTTTTAGACAAATAAGTGCCAGATTTAAGTTCTATAAACACAATTCGCTATAATCGCCACGCTGGACGGGTGGCAGCTGCGGTTTATTAGTTGGAATTATCTGGAAGATGCTGCAGCACAGCTCCTATCCCTTCCCTCTGTCGCTTCTTACTGAACCACGGGATGATAAGGGTAGTGTTTCTTCCGCCGCAACTAAGTACATGGCTAGCTCCAAAATATGTTTATTCAAAATTACAACAAAATATTTCAACCGGTCATGTAATTATTACCTAAAAGTAAAGATAAGCCTCCTCTCCTCGCCTCTCCTTTCTGAGAGTGTTATGTAGTAGTGAGACTGGCGTTGTTGTTTGTGCTGGCAAATTTGACACGTACTTTCGTAAATGAGCACGAGGTAAATAAATAAGGACTTTAAATTACAATTAATACGCAAACTAGAATCCAAAACTTATAATTTTATATTTTCCTAATATGATTTATTTTTCCAGTAATTTATCGGCTTTACCAATAATGTGCCTTTTAAGATTTTTTTTTATTTCTCTATACTCAAACTCAGCTGCTCGACAACTTTGTTAGCTGCTCTAGAATGGTTTTTTTTATAGAATAAGGGTGACAAACGAGCACACAGTCCACTTGATGGTAAGTGGATGCTGTGGCCCATAGACATCTACATTTATCCTCGATTACCAAAACGCAGATGCGTTGTCACCCTTGAGGACTAAGATGGAATGCCTCGTTTCCAGTAAAAAGGGTCTCCGGATCTCTACACTCACTATACGAAAAACAGCAGTATTAAGCTGCTATTTTACGTTAGTATTCTGCGAAAGCGTGGTCTTTCCCCGGTTGAGCCGACCCATTCATGCTACAACCGTAATACAGCTGCAGCGTGGCTCTACCACGTATAAATGTAGAGTTTCAGTTCAGATAATCGAATGGATTTCGCGTTATCCGTCGGTTACCAGTCGGTTGTTAGCAACGTGAACCGCTTGTAGGTGTGGTTAAGTTTTAATTTTCTCTCCACACGCCACATAGTTTATAGTAGAATGATAAACATTTTGTTAGGGTAGGGAGGTGCTCTTTAATTAAGTGGAATAAACCAATATATTTTCACTCATATATTAATTTGCACATCTTTAATATACTTATAATGGATT